TTTTTTAATAAACCCTTTTTCATTCGACATACTTTATCTTAATCGAGATATTAATAAGGAACCAGCAGATCAAGTAGCTTTTGGAATAAAACACCAATTTTTTTAAAATTAAACACTATCTAAAGATTTGCATCGAAGCGTTTATTTTTGATAGTGATTTTAATCACTTGCAGATATCATTATACTTGATCCAACTATGCCATGTCACCACTGTGCCGCGACCCCCCGTGCTGGGTTTTTTTTATCTTAGAGCAGTACACTGCGATACACCTAGCTGTTTGCTGCGTTCGAGATATATATTAATTACAATCACTTTCTATTATTAATATTATTTGTAATATTAGTAATAAATTATAACAACTAAAAAACTCTGAGCGTACGAATAATTTTTATTAATTTAATAATATTCCTGTTCACCCCTCAACAAATGACATTTTATTCCGGCCCGTAGTCCTCACTTTGGTGGATTGTTAAATCCATTAAGGCACATTTGCTCAAATCGTTTAGTAATGCTCTGTTTAATTATGAAGATTTATGTACAATACTTGTTCGAGTAGAAGCCATATTAAATTCACGACCGTTGACACCTTTATCCACGAATCCAAGTTATCGGTTTTACACATCTGGTCATTTTTTGATAGGTGACTCACTATCCGCGTTTCCTGGACGTGACGTAACAAATGTTATGGAGAACAGACTAATTCGCTGAGACGTGTTGTTCAAATTAGACAAAAAATATGGATTCGATGGAGGAACGAATATCTCAGACAGCTATAAGAGTGAAAAAAATGGTCACAATCAAATTGCCCCCTTTAAAATTGTTAGTTGGAAGAGTAATTGAAGTGCATCGTGATTCTGGCGGTGTCGTAAGAGTCGCTACTATGTGTACAGTAACCGGTGTATGTACTGTTTGTCAGTTAAATTGTGCAGCAAATTAAAATAAGTAAAAATGTTTTGATATGTATGTGTTAGTACATTATGTACAAATACTTATAATATTGAAAAAAAAAATTATAATGAATCTAGTATAAATATCGTGATAGCATTTTTTTTTTTTTGGTTTTATGTATGTAATGTATTAATTATCATTTGTATATCTATTATAAAATATGTTCATTGTAGTGATATGTTAAATATGTCAATATTTTTAAGTGTCCTGTAGTTAATGTTTTGTGCTAAATGTAGTTACCATAATTTATATTATTTATTTATATATTAATTTAATTATTTGTAAATTGTTTAAAGTATGATGTATCAGTTCTAAGTTATAACTATTTGCTATTTATCTAAGAACGTTTTCAGAATTATTGTTTATATTTTTGGCCATGAATGTGAGTCAATTGTTTGTCATAATCTTATTATTTATAATTTAAATAATAAGATTATAAACATATAATTATATATTATGTACCTTATATTGAAATGTGTTTTTTCAAGGTAGCCACACTGGCTACACACTGTTCGCGTTCGTTATCATGATAGTAATCGATAACAATAATAATGGTCGCCGACCAATGTAATAGACATTAATGATCGATATTTGTAATGATATTTAGTAATGATTTAATATTTACATTCACGAATTATTTATTTATTCATTATATGTATTGAACCAGTTCACAACACTGAGCTCCGCCCGAGACCACAGACCTTATGGGTGGATCACAGATTCCGGTAGATGTACCCAGCTACGCCATGATATATAATGTTTTTTACAAAAAAAGTATTACTTCACAATAAAAATAATAAAAATATAGTAAACATTTAATTATTAAAATGAGTAACATTTAAAAAAGGTCAATAATAAAATGTAATAAGTATAAGGATGACATTTGGTTCCGAAGTCATCACAATAATATAACAACAATTCAATATTAACACTATCTTTGGAATCAATAATATTAAAAAAATGTGTTATGAAGTTAAAGGCTATGTTGTGTTACTATAATATAGAATTTTACATTTATGTCAAACTCCAATGAACTATTTATACACTAAATATTGAGATCAAATATACTATTTTATTAGTACACAAAAATACAGATAATTAGAAAAACATATTCACTAACATAATAACATAATTCTTTGATATCTTATTATATAACTAAAAAGTACAAACGTATATTCAAAAATGTAAACAGCAGGTATAAAAAAAATTACTTTATAATTATTACGATACAATTTGTAAATACGTACATAAATATGTATGCGCACATACAAATACTTTCCAAACGAAAACTATAGGCATGCCCTTAAGAAAAAAAACTCATAACTAAATCAAAAATAAACAAATTAAAACAAAATTTTCAGAATGCTTTTAGAATGTCTCTGTGCAAGTCTGATAAAAATTTCAAATTTTAAATCGAAAAACGCTTACAGCAATGAGCGTTTATGACAAAAATTTTAGACGTTTACGGAATGTTAAAAAAAATTATATCAGTTTCGTCAAAAAAATTCCCAGGGGAATATTGCCGATCTCTATTATTAAAATAAAAAATTTATGAGTTGGATATTGTTCAGTAATTTTCCAGCATTGTGAAATTTTTGAATATTTTATTCAATAATTAGATTAAAATAAAATTTTACTATAAAATTCTTAAAATCACTATATAAATAAATTTAACAAGATTTAGTGTTGGTTAAATATTATTCAAATCTGTTTTTGAAATACATATAATCAAAAATAAATAGAAGATATGAGTCAAATCAATTAAATAACATATTTTTCACGTAATAAAAATAGATTCACTTACTAAAAAGCAACCAGTCATTTTTCGTTTTATTTAATTATATTATATTCTATAATAAGAAAACTTAAATAGTAAATAGACTATTGAAATCCAACACCAAAAATTTCTGAACATGGTATGTACTACTTTCGCATAACTTCATGGTATAAATTTTATGTAAAAATTAAATAATTTTTTTTTCAGAATTTACTTATTACAAGTATGATTATATTAGTATTAGCTGTTCATTTCTCCTTAGCACCGAATGGTAATAAAAATATTTAATATAATTTTTTTATAGTTATAGAATTTAGATGTACATCCATATAGTTATTAGAATTGATAAAATAAAATAAATAACATCTATAGTATAGATCACTATTTTAATATTTCTTAAGAACTAGTTTAAAAGTAACAATTTCCTAGAAGTTCTTTAGAGATCTACAAGATGATTTATTAAGGAAAAGACACTCATTTTATCGGCAACTATTGAAAATTTTAAATTTTTGGTAAGGAAAATATTGTTTAATTCAAAAAACTCTACAATAATAATTAGTAAAATCATAATTTTTTTATCCCTTCAAGGTTAAAAAACATTAATTTGAATTTTCACAAATGGGAACCCCTATTCTAAATTTGTTATTATGATTTAAAGTAAAAATACAAATAACTTTGCTCTTATAATGTTTTTTCCGATCAACCGTTCGTCTGTTACAGCTTGCTAAAGTTAAATGATTTTGGACTAAAATTCTATTATTATTTTACTGTTTTGAATACAGGAGTCACTCATTTTCTATGATGTAACATAAACTAATTTAACTTAATTCAGTTTATGAGGTTACGCTGCAACTTTTAATATGTAGCCGACAACAAAAATAAAGATTACTTTGTGTAAGCAATGATTACGATAACATTATCGACTATTTTAAGAGTCACTATACTACGCATAGTAGTATTCGATTATTAAGAGTCCCTATACTATGCATAAAGTTGGGTTTTTCAAAAAAATTGATTCTTCATTATTATAGCTTGTTTTACAAACCAATAGACTGTGCATATAGTTAAGGCCCGGATTTGAATCTATTATTATTATCAATCAATTAGTGTGTCGTAAATTATTATTGCTATCTTACATGTCATATCTTGGTCAATAAAAATTAGTATATATTAAAAATAATGACTTCTGTATTCAAAACAGTAAAATAACAAAAGAAATTTAGTCCAAAATCATTTAACTTTTAACAAGTTGCAATAGACGAACGGTTGATCGGAAAAAAAAAATTATAAGAGAAATTATATTTATATTCTTATTTGAAATCATAATAACAAATTCAAAATAGGGGTTTCCGTTTAAGAAAATTCAAATTAATGTTTTTTAACCTTTAAGGGATGAAATAAATTATGATTTTACTAATTATTATTGTAGAGTTTTTTGAATTAAACAATATTTTCCTTACCAAAAATTTAATATTTTCAATAGTTGATGAGAAAATGAGTGTCTTATCCTTAATGAATCACCTCTATATCTCACGTAAAAATTTTATAATGTAATATTTACTTTCAAAAAAAAAATGTAATCTACGATAATTCTATAAACATATCTAATTTTATTCTGATTAGCTATAATTAAAAATATAAATAAATTTCATGTTTGTAGGCGCACTACATTAACCGACAGACTAATTGAATATTTAAATTTAATCTTTTGATTAAAGTCAAACTCTGAGTGAACAATTGTATCACTGTTACAAGTAGAACCAATATTTGACACTGGTGAAATGACCAAAATATTTTGTATGTTTTTAGTGGACTGTATAGAGGGTAAACTTAAATGACAACAGCTAGACAGAAAGTTAACTAAAGATATGACTGATTTATTTCTATGAGTACAAGTAAATATTTTTATTCTAATGACAACAACTATGTAGATAACTACATTTAAGACAAAAAAGTTATTTCTATGATTACAAGTGAAAGGTTGATTTTGTATACTAGAAAACAAACATGCATTACTTTAAAATGATTACGAAACTATTGTTTTAAACTAGTCATACAATCAAAAATTCGATTATATTAAATAGACTTATAAAATGAGTAATAACTTACAATCTTATATTAAGTTCACAAGCAACATGCATAAGTAAAATTTACCATGTTTTTAATATACTCAACATGCTTAGATCTGTGCTATTTACAACTAAAATTTTAATATAATTGTTTCAAAAATAATGAATTATACAACTCAAGGAATTAATACTCATTTGATTTCAAAAGTGCAAGCTATTTTTAAACTACATGTAAAAAACTAATAGGAACAATTTATCAATGAAGTTTATCATGTAAGGAACAACAAATGAGATCAATAACTAATATTCAATTTTGTAAGGCTTAGTGTTTTTTAAATTGAGAAACTAGTTATTTTCTGAGAAGACAAAATAAATTTAAGTTGAGTGATTACAAGTGTGAGTATTAGGGTGGTCCTTATTCTTCAAACTCAATTTTTTTAAGACAGTACCGTCTAGATTGGTTAAATACTATTAAAATGTAATGTAGGTAAAATTTGGAAGTTATTATTCAACCCCTTCTGGTGCCGCATTAGGGTTGAAATATGGCACTTGATGGTTGTTTTTGCTTTTTTTGTGTTTAACTCGACAACTATTACACTTAGCGCTAAAATGAATAGAATATTAATTATAGAACTTATTATTGCCTACAAAAAAGGTAATTACAATATTTTTCATAAATTCATTATATTTTGAGAAAAATAACTTAACATAAAAATTTTTCAAAATTTAACATAAATATATTTTTTTAAATATTTTAATATTTTTACTGAGTGGTTGAAATTTCATTAAATTTTCATGTAATCTTTTTTTATAAAATTAATATTAAAAAAAAAAGCTAAGTAAAAAATTGTATAAAATAACTATATAATAATTTCATGAATATTAACTAAGATTAAATAAAAAAAAATGTATAATCCATTCTATCAACACATAATTATTACAAAATTCATAGCACATTTATCTACATGGAACTAGTATTTGTCTTTTAATATATTTTTTTTAATGTTTCTCTATCACATTTTGGATATTTTTTTTGATAGTCTTGGACGGTCTAAAAATTTAAACGATATAATTAAGTTAAGTTAAAAATAAAAATTGTTAAATTTACCTGCAATAAAAATTGTTTTTGTTCTTCGTCTTTAGTAAATTTATCATTATATTCTTCCATTAGCTTGACTCCTCTCTCAGCTGTGTCGTTAACTATTTTCAATGATTTGATTATTTCTCTACCTGTTTTGAAGTCTTCCTGATAATTCCAATAAGCTGGATCAATGCTTAAAAAATTTGTTTGAATTTTAAACCGCTTAAACATTTCAATTGATTTGGAAGTTATTAAATCAGTTGGTAGGTCTTTTTGAAGAAAATTGGGGACATCGTCTGGTGTAAGAGTTAACTTTTTATTCAGATTAGTTTCTTCATCATCATCATCATTATAACTTAGAATTTTTTCAGCCATTTTGCGTTTTGTATTATAGTCTATACGATTGTCAAATAAGGAAAAAGTAATACATTCTGGATTTAAATACCACAAATGATTAGTTATTTTTTTTAATGCCACGTCTGCGATTTTTTTATTTTGTAATTTATAAGATTCTAATTTTCTAAGAAATAATATGTCATTAAAAGGAGCTTCTATAGCTTTTGGAGATGAAAACCAAGCTTGAACGTAACATTTTACAATAAAACAACAAATATCCTTTAATGATGTTTCTTCTCTGCTGTCTAGTTTAAATTGATTTTTAAACAAAAATATTTTTAAACAATATATTGCTTTAGCCATCCATCTGGCTAAATGATAAGGACCCGGTTTTCGAAAAGCATTTCCCCTTTGAGGAACACCGCCCAAAAATATAATAACAAGTTCTAAAAACTCTTGATAATCATCTCGGGGGAGATATTCAGTAATTTTACTTTTTGCATATAAAATAATTTCATCGGCTTCATCTTTTAAAATATTATGAACATAAGTATCAGAAATTGATGTAGAGAATTTTGTTTTATCAATTGTTTCCCATTCTTGTTGAAACCTCTTGAATAATAATATTTCTGGTCCGGTTGAAGGACATAATTTGGTATCTGAAAATACGCCTTGTAAAACAAGTTCATAAATATGGTGTCGGCATGCTAAGAATAAAATTTCTCTTCCAAGACGTTGCTCTAACAAAAAACACGCCCCATTCAACCTTCCCGTATTAGAGGCCGTAGTATCAAATGTGAAAGCCTGTACTTTTTCCAATAGTGACCATTTGACTAAAGCGTCATAGACAGCTGATGATACTTCTAAACCTTTCCCAGAGGGTATATAAGGGACTCCAAGAAGCTGTTCAAAATTTAAGGCGGTTGCAATAATAGGGAGGCGATCGACTTTTTTTTTCCCTGTAAGGTCTGGAAGCATTTTTGAATCCCAATGGATCACAACAAAATTCAAATTTTGTTCATGAAATTTAGAACTAATATTTTCTGCAATTTTTTGTCTATAATGTTCACGGGACCTTTTAATTGACGATCGGTTTAAAACATATATATTGGGATCTAATGATAAGGCATCCAAACATGCAGTTAACAAATGAACAGCATCCCTATCACTTATTTTACACCTATCAAGAGTGGCAGATAATCTAGAAGTTAAAAGTTCTTTTCTACCTCTTTTATTTTTTGACGGACCTGCTACTGGTGAAAATTGTCTCTCTTCTTCACTTACGATTTCCATATCACATGAATCCGATGAAGTACATGAATATTTTTCTAAATTAAATCATATATAATTATTAAAAATATAATAAACAATGTTTATTAAACATTCATTATTTTTAAAAATTACCTTCTAATAAAGTTTCTGTATCTGAGTGAGGTATAAGTATTTTATTTTTCTGTTCTTGTCTTATTTGCATTTTTTTTTCTGCTTGGGTTAAATTCATATCTACTCCCATCATACATCCGGGACGTCCCTTAGTTCGTTGAAGTCGCAAAAAATCAATATCTTCCTGGATCTTCATTAGACTGATTGCATTAGCATGAGCTATATCAAACAATTCTTCGATTTGGTCTACAAAATTTTGTTCTCTTTTCTTGTATAAGTCGCTGGTCCTGGTTTTATTTTTCTCTAAATTTCTCAGTTCATCGTAAAACTTTTTTAATTTTCTTATAATATTAGCTGGATCTTGCGTAGGTATTCAAGCTTTTTTTCAGTAAATTAAACACTCGTCAACAGCAAGCGCCGCACTTTCATCCAAATTCAATTTTACAAATCTTAAATTATAATACAATACACTCAAAACATTTTTAACTGAAGGTAATTTACTTCCAGTAATTTGATAATTCATTGCTCCTACTAAATACACTTGGTTACGTGACATATTTAAATAAAATAAAATTTCAAAAAAACTGTATCACTAAACTAATATTTTAACAAATCTTAAAACTTGACACAATAATAAGCAAAAAACTAAATTACAAGAAAATATCTGATATTAGTCCATGAAAAATGATTATTGGTAAGAACTTTTATCGTTACCTATTATTACACAAACAACAATAATGCCACAATTCTTATCTTCTATGGATAATCACAGTAAATTCCACACGTTCAAAATAATAAGTATAGCATTTAGAACAGTACAATTAAACTGATATTTGATTTTTGCGCCATAAATTCTAATACATCAATATATAATTGCACTAACGTGAAATATAATATGAGTTTTTTTAGGAAATATTACTAAAACCAATTTTAAAGGAAAAATTCGATGAAACTTCAACCACTCAGTAAAAATATTAAAATATTTAAAAAAATATATTTATGTTAAATTTTGAAAAATTTTTATGTTAAGTTATTTTTCTCAAAATATAATGAATTTATGAAAAATATTGTAATAACCTTTTTTGTAGGCAATAATAAGTTCTATAATTAATATTCTATTCATTTTAGCGCTAAGTGTAATAGTTGTCGAGTTAAACACAAAAAAAGCAAAAACAACCATCAAGTGCCATATTTCAACCCTAATGCGGCACCAGAAGGGGTTGAATAATAACTTCCAAATTTTACCTACATTACATTTTAATAGTATTTAACCAATCTAGAGGGTACTGTGTAAAAAATATTAATAAAAAATTTCTTCTTATATGATTAAGGACCACCCTAGTGAGTATAGACAAGAATTGTGAAAAAATTGAATATAAGCGACTGATCGACAATGGATTTAAATAATTATAGGTAATTTTGAATGACATATTGTCAACGAGTAGAACAATTATGAGATTCAACTGGATAAAGTTCTACCACCCACCTCAAAGGAGTATTAGAACTCTAGTGAATGATTTCAATAATAATTTAAGATTTTGACTTTGACTAATAAATGTACTATATTAAAATCTGTTCGATATGACAACAACAAAATGTGTAATAATTAACTTATATTACCAATAGACCAGTATTTAATAAAAAATCTGAAATTAACCACGAGGTTTCTAAAACTTGATTTAAGAATTTAAGTTAGGAATTTGTTGTAAGCAAATTTCCTACAAGTTACAATATTGTTGTGTACTACCGTTCCAAAGTAGTCAAAATATGACAACAACAATGGTTTGAAGAAAAGACATAAGCTTAACACTTTTACAACAAAAAAGGCGACTCAACAAAAACGAACACAAAGACTTCTTGACAGCTAGGCGATCCAAAAGCGAGAGAGAGTAGATTTTTAAGCGCATAACTGCTACACCGACAAATTAACTTGACCAGTGATAAAAGAAATGACGGGTGATCAATCAGTGTGGCCACAATTTAAAGATAGACTTTGCTAAGCGCAAACAATGTCTTTAATTAAATTTTAAATGTATTTAAAAAAAATTTGTATTTATTTAAACCTGTTTGGATACGAATTTGATTTTGATAAAAATTTATTTAGTATTAAATTAACAATTAACTAATAATTGATGTTATTGAGTCTCATATTGGTTGATTCTAATTAAAAATTATTAAACGATTATTTAATGATAAAATTTAATATTTTATAACTTTTGGTAATTGTTTATAATAAAAAATGTTTAAATCAAGTTTCATTTGTTTAGTGTAATTTCAATTTAGATTTTTATTTTGTTTTAATTATAGCAGTAAGTTTATTAAGTAAGTATAAACAAAAAAAATAGTTCTTATAAAAAATATATTAAAATAAATATTAATAAATTCATAGGTATTTTATTATTCAAGTTAATATTTTATAGAATGCGTTAAATGTGGTAGGAGCAACGAATTAAGGCAAGGTGTTGCATGTTCTCATACAATTTGTAAGACTTGTAAACGTCTAAAGTTGTTTTGTACGGTGTGTAATAAAAAATTCGGTAAAGGTAATATTATTGTTGTTATTAAATATGAAATTTAAAGTTACCTATAACATTTATAATTTATTCTGTAAGTTTAAATAGAACAATATCCTCTAATACTTTTTTAATACCGTTAAGAATAAGACACTTGATCTAACGCATATATTTAGTGTAGTGTATTATGTTTCTTATGTGTTATTACAACAATTGGTATCGCATTTATAGTCCTTGAAGGAGGATTCATGAACGATAACCTTTGTAAAATATTTAAGTTATCATGTAACTTTTTAGATAAAGGTACTTTTTTTAGCTTCGATGCGAAGCTGGGAAGGTATTAATTTTACTATGATGTGTTTTTTTTTTTTGTCTGTGAACGCTCAATCTCCACTCTCGCTGGACCGATTTTGATGAACAATAAGTAAAAAGATCACAAATCGTATCTAAACGAAAACAATACCTTTAAAAATTGAAAAAAATTCCCTCCTTTACCGTAAACGGGGGAAATCGTCCAAAAAATTACAAATTTATAAATCGTTAATTTTCGATATTTTTACAATTTTTTTACTTAAAACTGCCTTAATTTTTTTAAAAATGACCGAATCAATACAATTTTTTTTTATAGATACCTTAAAAATATACCTATCTTTAGATATATTTGTGAACATTTGACCTCTTACCAGCCCACAGGAAGGGTTTCAAAATGGAAATTTTTTTACAAAAAATTTACTTTTGATAATGTTCCGGAAAGACTGATACTTTTATATATACCTTAAATTAAAACCTATGTAATATATCTTATTTTGAAAATAAAAAATTTAACTATTGGAAAAATGTATGGATCAATATTATTATTTTTTTATAAATAATTTGTATGTATCCCTTTCATCTGACACAATTTTTTTTTAAATCGGATCATGCCGCTTTATACAAGGAGGTCAAAACTTTAAATATACGTATTGAAACTAGGACATTTTCAATTTAATTTTTGAAAGTGTACCAAAAATACTGACACTTTAATATATATCTTAAATTAAAGCTTATGTAATATACTTTAATTTGAAAAAAAAACCTGACCTCTAGATTTGTCTTCATGGTGAAAATGTCTACCGTATACAAAAATTTGCTATTTTTGTGTTAAAATTCTGGATTTTGTATTTTATTTTATTTTAAAATATCTGACAAGGGGAGCACACTGATTTTCATAAATATTATATAAATCAAATTGATATAGCATAGAAAGTTAAACTTATTTAATTTTTTTTCGCTTTTTTAGAAAAATAGCTTTGAAATTTGAACTAGCTTAAATCGCCATTTTTTTTTTATTATTTTATTCGTTATATTATTATCTTTTGTGCTACCGTTTTTTTTTTAACATTACTTTCTATAGAATTTTTATAGATTCTTTTGAAATATTGTCTAACATTGAAATACAATATAATGAATATTCTTCTCTGTGACTGAATGTAGAGTGAGCTCAATTTTCACATGTTATTCGTAGTAGTACTATTAATTATATTTGATTTATCGAACTTACAATCTAATAAAATATACAATAAAATCACAAGCTACACATCTAATTTAAAAATTCAATGACACATATAATGTATAGTTCAATGTTTGATTATAAATTTTACTTTCTTATAAAAGTAAAAATCCTACTAATAAAGATAAAAATTTAGTATTTAATAGTTCATAATAACAAATGATCAGTGCAATTTTAATTCAAGTTTATATTTTGTTTTGATATAGTAACAATTTTAAGTAAGTATAAACTAAATAATTATCTCTTATAAAAATATATATAATTAATCAGTATTGTCTTATTTAAATAACTAAAATACTTAGTTCAAAATAATTTTTCGAAAATTAAAAACGTTATAATATAATAAACTGTTCAATTATATAAAAAAAATATTATTATACTATAAATTAAATAAATTTATTATTTAAAGGATGTTCATTATGTAATTCAGATAGATATGACACATTCATGAGGTCCAACAATAAATTATACTGTATGAATTGCAATTTATATGGTAATATACATTATATAAGATGTTCAGTAAGTAAGGAAATGAATTTCTATTTTTCTCGTTATTTGTAACAATTAACCTATTTCCTTACATACTGAACTCTGCTTATTTAAATTAGTTAAAATAAAACACAATATTTATAAACTTGAATTCGTATTAATATTGTCTGTATGTAATACATGAATAAATTATATAAATACATAATAAAGGTAATCAACCATGCTTTCGAAATTTATCGATACAGTAATCATGTTAGTACCGCATTATAGGAATGTCTAAGTATTGGAATGAACCGTCATATCGTGAAATATAAATTTAAATTAAACATAAAATTCTATTTTTGATAAACCCATTTAAATTAATATTCTATGGTATATCTTAACTATATTATATTATAATAATATGCAAACATATTAAATAATAATGAATCATTTTCGATGATTCTTATAATACAACATATTATTAGTCCAAACAAAAATTATTATTTAGTTTGTTTTAGTCATTAAGATTCCCCTCAAAGATTCAATTACTAATAAATAGCGCATATTATTTTTAAATAATGTTTATTAATAAGGATTTTAGCTGTGGACGATTACTCAACTAACAAAAAAATATTTATGTGGTACAGTATAACCTGTAGTAAATTTTCATTCCATTGACAATCTTGTGAGAGACTTCAAAATTTCTTAAATCTCGAGTCTTGTTAATAAAATACAGATCAAAAATAAGTAAAAAATATTTAAAATAAAAAATATTACATCATATATGATTTATCAAGAATATTACCCTCAATTTTTAATTTAGTATTTAGAAGTGCATTATATTTATTATAACTCACACTGTAGGCCAGTCAACGAAGGAGTAATTTTAGTGAATGGCGGAAAAAATTCCCAACCAAATTTTTTTTTTTTTTAAAGTTGAATTAAGATATGTATAATGACATACTAAAAGTCCTCATCGATTGGACTTGAGCTTTTTTCTTTACAGCCTCGCAAAAGTTCAAAAATATGAGCTTTTTTAATTTTCTCAAAAAATATTTAACTTACAAAAAAAAGTTTCGTACAAAAGTTATTTAAAAAACAATTTTAAACAAAAAAAGTATCTTATATTTTTTCATTTAAACAAATATTTTTCGAGTTACATTACATTTAATATGAGTACTAAAATTTATTTTCCAATATTTTTCATTTTACGATTACTTTTTATCATGTTATACTTACATTAGACAAAATGTTATAAATGCATATGTGTGTATGTGTAAGTTTATTTATTTATAGTATCATTAAAGTGTAGTGTATAATAAGATACAACCGATAGAGTAAGTAATTGATTTCACGCTATATTGTTTAAACCCAACTAAACGCTAAATTGTACATTCC